TCTGAAGCAGCGTCGGTGTGTTTTCCCACCTGGTTTTTAAACTCTGGGGTCCGTTGCGATGGATTGCCTCACTTCCGGGTTTCCTCCATAGTGGAATATATATGGGGTCGAGTTCAATGTGTTTATTAATTGCATGCTTCGTGGAGTGCCATGCTTCCAGGAATTCTCGTGCTTGTCTCAACTGTTGAACTACTAATGTCAATGCTACTAGTAACCTCCACTGCAACAATCATAACACCATTCACTCTCCACAAACAATTCAGACACTGGTCCATATATTGTTTTCAAACTTGTACTTTTTATTTTAACTCAGTTTTCATTGGAATCTATGTGTTTTATATTTGGTTTATATTAATTTGCTTGGTCTATCCAACAATGGACAATTAGTCATGGCTCACTTTAAAGGAAGACACCTGATGTAATCTGCTCTGATTCACCTCAATCACATAGATTACTAAAACTGAAGGTAAATTTAACCAGACACGGAGACTGGAAGTCGAGTGAAAGGTAATACTGCAAAAGAAAGAAGACATTATCCCAAACTACATACAACCAACTTAAAGTTTTCATTCCCACAAGGGAAAAGTCAGGTATCTTATGTATTACAAGATCTCTTTAATTTCCTTTATCAATGTTCCATAATTTCACTACTCAATTTCAATTATTCAGAAGGCATTTGATTGTATAATCAAATATAAACTGCTACTCTCTCTGTTACAAAAAGAATTAGACAGTCTCCAATTAATATATTTATACTTATATATCTGAACACAGGAGTAAAGGCACTGTCATAATGTTGACCTGAAACTGAAGACTGAGGATTTCACCTGCCTCTTCATTTAGATTATTTGCAATTACATTTTCTGATGATAATTACTCAGTTTCATAGCAACATTAGTAATGTCAATTTTGATAAAAATCTTGGAAAAATCCACTGGGAAATGGAGAAGCAGATCTATTCATTAATATTTACGAGAGAAAATTAACTTTTAACTGAAAACAATTAAAATTAAGAAAGGTTCAACAGGCAAGGGAATTTCTTTTTAATTTCATATTAACATTATGACAATGTTTTCTCGCATGTGTTCAAATGTATGCATATAAACAATTAGTTGAAGACTAACTTAATATTTTCAATTATTAAATTTTCAACAGATTATTTAATGAGCATTCTGCGTGAACAGATCTTGCTAAAATCTTTGAAGTTAGTATTGCAGAGGCTGATCCACAGGTCAAGGAATCAGGAAACGACCAATCTCCTCAATAAACTAAAATTAAATTGGCTTTGTAAAAGGTACATAAAAACATTATTCAGCTGTTAATTCATAATTGTGTTTGATTTCTCAGAATACTGAGCCCTAAAGGCTAGGAAAGTCCAACACAAAAATTCTGTGTCTCTGTTTCACTTGTTCACTTCAGCACTCCTCTGGCCGAGAAAAACTAAACAGAATCAGTTGCAATGTTTCACATTGTGGTAGTCTGCTAAAATTGATTGTTGAGAAATCAAAGGTAGCTAGTGCCATGGAACTATACTGAAGCACCTTGTGGTTTCTTTCTTGGGATGGGCCCTGAGAATCATTAACTAGGTCAGCATTTATTACCCAGTCCTAAATGTGCTTGAGAAAGTAGCAGCAATTAGGCATAGAGAATAATAAATGCAGGGTTAGCCAGTGACACTTACAACTCAAAATCAAATTTAAAAGAGACTGTGCCTTTAAGAGAGATAAGAAAATTCAGAAATCACAAAAGTCTGTTTGTTGCTTAGAGAACGGCAAGTGTTTATTTTTAAATCTACTATGACATTAACCAATGTTCAAGAAGAAGAGTTTCTTATTTCTCTATCTTGTTACTCATTAATCTCTGTCAGTCACGCTTTGAATGCTTTACTGGAATTCTATTCCTTGCTATTGAAAAAAATGTGAATTAGTTATGCTACAGCACAGTTAAATTACCTCTGAATTATAAAAAATCTTCTTAGTATGATCTAAGTGCTGCCATAAAATCATTAACAATCAAGTTATCAGCAAATTAAAGTCCAATTAAAATGGGAAGCAGCTGGAAGCTTGTTTGAGCACTGCAGTCATCAAATCTGCGTTTGGTCTCCCCCAGTGTAAAGGAGACCACACTGTGAGTAACATATGAAATTGAAAGAAGCATAAGTAAATTGCTGCTTTACCTTGAACAGTGAGGAGAACGAACATTAGTCGATAACCTACCCCAGGAACAGAAACAGAAACAGAGAAGTCAAGAAAGGAAAGGGAAGTATTTAAGATGGACCATAGGAACAAAGGATATAGGGCTTAGAGCAGGAATGAGCCCTTTAAACCCTTAAAGTCTACTTCGCCATTCAATAAGGTCATGGCTGAATATGTGCATACCATTACCTTGGATTCACTTGTCTCTCAAAAATCTAACTCATCCTTGTACTTATTTGAAGATCCAGCCTCTAATACCTTCTGAAGAAGACAATTCCACATCGTAATGGCTCTCTGACGGAAAGAATTTCTCCTTATCTCTGTTTGAAAAGGGAGACCACTTATTCTGAAACTATGTCCTTTGGTTTCAGTCTCTCTGCAAGTAGAGACATCCTCTTGGTATCCGTTATATCCAGTTCTCAACTCCAGTAGGTACACCCCCAACCTGTTCAACTTTTCTTCACAAGATAATCCTTTCATCCCTAGAATAAGTCAACCATTAGAAGGGGAGAGAAAGGTGCAAACTGGAAGCAAAATTAGGGATTTTCTCCAGTTTCTTGTGTGAGCAGGATATGGTCAACGATGTACTGGAGAAGAGCAGGTAAGGTGAAGCCCCAACGTAAGTAGTCAGCATCAATGAGAGAAGCAGGCAATGTGAAGACTCCAAAACAGGCAATCAGAAATAAATCTGCGACAGTTGACTGGAATTGGTTACTGCTCTACTACAGAGGAAGGAGCTAGTTGTTTGGTGAGTGGTTAAGGTCTTTGCTATTCCTAAATTTTAAGTGTATAAATTGGTGGCAAAGTTAATGAAATATATAAAGGCAACATGAATGAGTGAATAATAGATTAAAAAATTAAAATTCATTAAAGATGGCAACTGAGGTGATAAGTCAAAGTCACAGCTTGTGGGAATTCCAAGACCGCAATAAATGTGTGAAACTCGAGCAACTTCAGCGCAGAGTTCATGCGCTGGAAGCTGAACAACGAACAATGCGACAGATCACATAGGAGGAAGTTTACCTAGATTGTTTGCACCAGGACACTGTCACATTACTTAAGTTAGAGTCTTTCTACTTGGTCAGTGTGACTGTGACTGGGGAAGGTAAGAGCTGTCATGAAACAGCAATTTACTTTTACTTATTTCTTTGACAATTTGTTATGTTAATATTGCAACCAGTTAAACAAGTGATTAGGGCTAATTAATTAACAAACTGATTTCGTAGATATAAAGGGAAATAGTTGTATGGAAGGAGCTGAGAGACTGAGAAGTTGATAAACACTATCCTCGAAGAAAGGTATTTTAGGTACTGTTCAGCAAACTGGCTTGGATCCAAATTGACATAACATATTGTACTCCCTGCTCATGGTATGAACTCCTCTCTAGTGGGGAGACCAAATCAACATTGGGTGATTGTTATACTGAGCTTTCTTGAGTCTATAAAAACCAAAAGAACCACGGATGCTGCAAATCAGAAGCAAAAATAGAAATTGCTGGAAAAGCCCAGCAGGATTGACAGCATCTGTGGAGAGAAATCAGAATTAACGTTTCGGGTTGAGTAACCCTTCCTCAGAACTTCCAGAATCAATATTCAGTTGATAAGTTTTACATCTTAGCCACTACTCCCACTTTTGCAGATATGTGCTAGCAATGGTTTGGCTGTTGCCATTTATACCTCACCTGGATCCAACTGTTAATTCTTTACTTGGCCAATTACAATCTTTTCTGAGTTTGCATCATCATTCCAATTGTCATTTAAATTACTCCTGCCTCTACCTTACCAACTTTCCCTTTCATGCTGTCCTCGTTGGCTCCTTTCACTGCTTCTCTGATCATTTAAACCTGTTGTATCTCTATCTTATTCTATTTCTGCTCTAAGGTCACAGATCTGAAACATTAATTCTTTTGCCCTCTTCACAAACAACACCTGATTTGCTGAATATTTCCAGCATTTTCTGTTTTTAGTTTGGCATTCCTGCATCTGCAGTATTTTTTTATGTGCGCATTTTAATATTTCTTTTTTGCCCGGACCTATTTTGGCTACCTAATAATCCTCCCATCAATGGCTTCTCTTTAATGTATCCTAATTGATCTTAGGATAACATTAGTTATAAAAATTCATAAACTAACAAAGCCATCAAAACACCGTGTGTGTATCTATCATCCTAGGCATTATTACTTTCAAAGGATCTTGCCCGAAAGGGTGGTCTTCACATGCAGCCTTGTCCATGTATCAATCTAACCATCTTCAACTCTATTGTCATATAACCAGATATCTTTGTCCCAGTGAAATAAAAAAAACTAAAATAAAATGACATTCTCTACCACTTCCAACATGTACCGACAAACTTGCAGGGTACTGTTACTGATTTGGCTGACACTACGTTTTGTGCTACTTCATCTCCCAACCCCACTCTCACAGGTATCTTCATTTCTATAATCAACCCCAACCATCTCGCAACGTTGAACTCTCTCTCTAAATCCCTGCTATTTATTTTTCTAACATAAAAGCCAACTTGAAGCCTACATTTGTCTTTGCTCATTATTAATCTTCAATGTCTATTTTCTTTGTTAAATCCCTTGAGATGTTTACTTTGTTATAGATTCAATAAAAATGCAAATTATTGTTGTTCATGGAGAAGAATGTCAATGCTGATATCATCCAGGTTGAATTCTTAAAGACGTTTAATTTTACAAGAGACAATTTCCAGCTCTTTCACTCTTGCAGTTAAGTCAATAAAACTTCCTGAGGAATTAATTCAAACAATTATTTATTCAGGATATATATGAAGCACTTTTAATACCTCTGAAAACTGCTCTAGTCGCTCATTGACTTCTGGTAACATCCACGTGTCCTCACCACGTAAGTGCTTGAGCTGCTTCCGTTGCTCTTCTCTTTGATATTTAGCTTGAGCCTATGATGGAATGAGAAAAGGTTTAGTAAAGACATGAATGCTGAAGATTCTCTACAAATATATATTTAAATCTTTTAAATCAGCTTTTTCTATATTAGAAAGAACAATCACAGTTCATGCATTAAGATAATAGCCTTTAGAAAATTGATGAATTCAGATGAACACTTGCGCATGATCTTACAAAGAATTTCAAGTACCCAAGTTTCTTTTCCCCAGTGTTGTTTCCACTGTAAAATAACTCTGGTCCGAGGACAAAGTCTAATCCAATTAAACTTAACTGGAACCATATCTATTATTTCTAAACACCAATCATCTGGAAATAATTTGAGGCGAGCCAAACAAATTAACAGACTCACCATTCAACTGGTCAGGCACTGCCAAAGGGAATGGGCTCAGTAAAACTGATTACTATATAAATAACTAAAACAAGTTTTAAAAGTTTTGTCATTGTCTTACATGCCAGAGAATTTTAATATCTATGATATTTTCCCATTCAGACCTCTGTGATTAGGCATTCTACCTTGATTTTTACCTGGAATGACCTTTAAGAAAAGAAATCCACCAACCTTAACTGGCCTAATTTCCATATAACCACAGGCCCTCAGCAATGTGGATGACTCTTACCTGCCATATTAAATGACCTAGCAAGTAAGATGCCTTGAAGGATTATTTGCATAGAAATGAGATGCAGAGATTTGAGAAAAGGGAGGTGACTGACAACAGGTAATAGAATTGGTATAGGCACAATGTGGCAAATGGCCTTCTTCTGTGCCATAACAATTTTGTGAATCTGTGAAGTCATTCCTGTCAAGGGCAACAAGGAATGGGCAACAAATACCGACCTTACCAGCAACACACACATCTCCTACAAGGAAAACAAACATGAACCACAAGATGGAAATTCAGTACAATCTATTTCTGATAATTCAAAGTGATTGTTTCACTGTTTAAAACTATCCAATAATTTTAATTTATCAATTTATGTATCATAAGTGGGAAATTAGTGCTCCACATTTAAATAAATCTGATAAAATTGAAGTAATTTTGCATTAAGGAAAGACTGCATTATGTTATAACAGTATCAAGTTGGCCTTGTAAGCACCTAAAAACAAGGGACCAAAATATTTTTTACCTACACAAAGATGTCATAAAAATAACCTTTTCAAACAAAAATTTATTTCAGACAAGCCGGAATCGTGACTCATCAGTTTAGAATGCTAAAGACATTGTGAGACTCTAGGATTTCAATTGTCAGTTTCTTGTACAAATTTGGTAACCAGCAGCTCTGGAATTTTTAAACAGCTAACATTGTCAAAAGAGGCAGAATGCTGTTATGATGACCCCAACTGTGTTATTTCTGAATAAGTCAATCCCAGAGTTAAATCTGACTTGACAGATCATATTTTTTATTTTCTTGTTTTTTTAATGGGGTGGTCTTTCACTAAAACACAAGCATGCAATGCTGCCGATTTGGTTTTAGAAATGATATAGATGTTTATGACACTAAACCAATGAGGATTAGATAATTTTTGTTCTATTTATTTATAAAACGAGTTTAAAGGTTACTAAACACACAGTCAAATCCCATTAAATGCAACAACAGCCCTTTCTTTGCAGCACTCACATCAGACAGAATTCCTTTCTCTCGCATATCTGGAATGGTGAACTTAACAGATGCTTCAATTCCTAGTCTTGAGCATCTAACAGCCTCTTCCTGCATGAACATGAATTAATATATTGACGTTAAACTTTGACAGTGTTAAACAGCAGGGTTTTAAGCACACACCTCTGATCTGGAACTTTGAAAGTAAAGTCCTTACATCAAGGTAAATTATTTCTTACCAGCTCTAAATCTTCATCAGGAGAAACTATTTTACACATCCAGTTTGAATCACAATTTCTGAAAACTGAAAGCCAAAATGTTTTTCAAGCTTCGGACGTTTCCTCAAAACCAAAAGAAATAATTCCAGATTGTTCTAACTCTTGATATATATCAGTCCTGCCATCCCAGGAATCAGTCCCCGATTCACTCCCTCTATAGCAAGAACATCCTCCTCAACTCAGGAGCCCAAAACCACACACAGTATTCCAGGTCCGATCTCACGAAGACCTGGTATAACATAGTCCATCAAGATTATCATCATTTAGATTGTACAAAATGACACAAATTGTTCATGACAGCATTTTATGCACTTCCAAATTAGGCTGAGTAAAATTAATATATTCATTAGAAAAAACACAAGAGACTTAATAATTGAAGTTTGAAGATGCAGATGACCAAAATTAAATCAAGATGGATGTATGGTTTATACTTGCATCAATATTTTTCATTTCATTAAATTTATGCTCAGAACTTAGCTGTTCTGGAGAACTTTATAAAAATAAACAGATTGTTAGACTGTCACTATAGAACACATAATGCAAATTTAAAACCAGCAGTTTTCCAGAAGTTAGGTATTTCGGACAGCAGGCCCTGGTAATACTGTGCTATAGCCCTCACCAAGCCACCCATTATTTCTTTATTTCACATTTTGTTATTAATCGTGCCTACTCTCTATTACATCAGACTTTTCAGTTTGTTCTTTCCAACCTTTTCCAACCCTCGCCCCCGGCCATCCTTCCCTAAGTTTGTGCTTGCATATAAACTCCTAACAACTGCCAGTTCTGAGAAAGGTCATCAAGCTGAAATGCTAACCCTGCTTGCACACCCCTTACCCATTCAACCTCTCCCCCTTGGAAGTGACTGCACTCCATGCTCTCAGATCCAACCCTGGCTTTATAAGAGATAGTAGGAACTGCAGATGCTGGAGAATCCGAGACAACAAGGTGCAGAGCTGCATGAACACAGCAGGCCAAGCAGCATCATAGGAGCAGAAAGGCTAACGTTTCGGGCCTAGACCCTTCATCAGAAATGGGGGAGGGCAAGGGGGTTCTGAAATAAATAGGGAGAGAGGGGGAGGCGGATAGAAGATGGACAGAGGAGAAGATAGGTAGAGAGGAAACAGACAGGTCATAGAGGCAGGGATGGAGCCAGTAAAGGTGAGTGTAGGTGGGGAGTTAGGGAGGGGATAGGTCAGTCCAGGGAGGACGGACAGGTCAAGGGGGCGGGATGAGGTTAGTAGGTAGGAGATGGGGGTGCGGTTTGAGGTGGGAGGAGGGGATAGGTGGGAGGAAGAACAGGTTAGGGAGGCGGGGACGAGCTGGGCTGGTTTTGGGATGCGGTGGGGGGAGAGGAGATTTTGAAGCTTGTGAAATCTCTTTCAATTCCTCCCACTTCCTACAGACAAAGGGGATGGCCATGGGTACCCGCATGGGCCCAAGCTATGCCTGCCTCTTTGTAGGTTACGTGGAACAACCCCTCTTCCGTACCTACACTGGCCCTATCCGCCTCCCCCCCTCTCCCTATTTATTTCAGAACCCCCTTCCCCTCCCCCCTTTCTGATGAAGGGTCTAGGCCCAAAACGTCAGCCTTTCTGCTCCTATGATGCTGCTTGGCCTGCTGTGTTCATCCAGCTCTGCACCTTGTTGTTCCAGACTTTATAATCAAGCTTGCTGACAAGGGTGGTGTGGCAGTTGTTGGCATAATGACCTCTACATTGAGGAGGCTAAGCACCAGATCTCAGGCACCTCTTCCTATCTCACCCTGGACCATGGCCCAGCCATTGAACACCAGGCTATTGTGTCCACGAAGGTCACTAGTCTTATTTCAACTGGTGATCTCCGTGACTGCCATCAGATGACGGCATTCATCTGATGCTTTACATCAGTTTCAGAATTTCCATTTCTCAGGCTACAGCCATCTTCTCTTCACATATCCACCGCACATCGGGATGGTCTCAGGGCTTTCTGCTTCTTTCTGGTAAATAGGCCTGAACTGTTCCCATCCTCCCACACCCTCCTATGCCTGGCCAAGCTTGTCCTTACTTTGAGCAACTTCTTTAATTGTTCTCACTTTCTTCAGGTCAGAGGTGTGGCCATAGGTACCCACATGGATGACCAGTTATGGCTGTTTCTTTGTGGGGTACACAGAACATTCTTTGTTACAGTCCTACTTGGGTCCCCACTCACAACTTTCTCTACAGTACATCAATGACATCAGTGCTGCTTCCCTCCCTTGTACAGAATTGGCAAAGTTTATCAATTTCACTTCCAATTTCCACAGTGCTCTCACCTTCATCTGGTCCATTTCTGACTCCTCCTTTCCTCAACATTTGTTTCCATTTCTGGGGAGAGATTAGTCACCAATATTCATTGCTAACCCACCATTACCTTGACTATACATCCTTCTCAGTACATCTGGAAAGACTCTATTCCATCCTCTCAGTTTCTCTGTCTCCGTTGCATCGGTTCCGGCGATGTCAGCTTCTGCAATTGTGCCCTCAAAATGTCCACCTTCTTTCTTCACCAAGGACTCCCCACCACCAACAAAGCCCTTAGTCATGTCCAACTCATCTCCCATACTTCAGCCCTCACCCCTTCTCTTTCCTCCCACACATCAATAGGGTTTTCCTGGTCCTCACCTACCACCCTCCCGACAGCCATATTAAAAGCCACCGTTTCCATTACCTCCAGCAGCATGCCACCACCAGACACAATCCCCACCCCTCCCTTGTCAGCCTTCCACAGAGATCATTCCCTCTGGGACACTCTTCCTCAACTCCCAACACTTCCACACACCCCCACAGAACCTTCCAATGCAATTGCAGAAGTTGTAACACCTGCATGTTTACTTCCTCACTATCCCAGGCCCCAGGCACACCTTACAGGTGAAGCAACAATCTACCCGCACTTCACTCAAAGTAGTCTACTATAATCACGATGTGGTCTGCTCCACAATGAGGAGATGAAATGCAAACTGGGAACCACTTTACAGAACACCTACATTCTGTCCAAAAAATGACCCTGAACTTCCTGTTGTCTGCCACTTCAACAAACCGCCATGTTCCCTGACCAATATCTCTGTCTCCAGCTAAGCTCAGCATGAGCTGGAAGAGGTGTAT